GACTAGACTATAGACTAGACTAGACTAGACTATAGACTAGACTAGACTAGACTATAGACTAGACTAGACTATAGACTAGACTAGACTATAGACTAGACTATAGACTAGACTATAGACTAGACTATAGACTAGACTATAGACTAGACTATAGACTAGACTATAGACTAGACAATAGACTAGACTATAGACTAGACTATAGACTAGACTATAGACTAGACTATAGACTAGACTATAGACTAGACTATAGACTAGACTATAGACTAGACTATAGACTAGACTATAGACTAGACTATAGACTAGACTATAGACTAGACTATAGACTAGACTATAGACTAGACTATAGACTAGACTATAGACTAGACTATAGACTAGACTATCGACTAGACTATAGACTAGACTATCGACTAGACTATAGACTAGACTATCGACTAGACTATAGACTAGACTATAGACTAGACTATAGACTAGACTATAGACTAGACTATAGACTAGACTATAGACTAGACTATAGACTAGACTATAGACTAGACTATAGACTAGACTATAGACTAGACTAGACTAGACTAGACTATAGACTAGACTATAGACTAGACTATAGACTAGACTATAGACTAGACTATAGACTAGACTATAGACTAGACTATAGACTAGACTATAGACTAGACTATAGACTAGACTATAGACTAGACTATAGACTAGACTATAGACTAGACTATAGACTAGACTATAGACTAGACTATAGACTAGACTATAGACTAGACTATAGACTAGACTATAGACTAGACTATAGACTAGACTATAGACTAGTAACTAGACTATAGACTAGACTAGACTAGACTATAGACTAGACTATAGACTAGACTATAGACTAGACTATAGACTAGACTATAGACTAGACTATAGACTAGACTATAGACTAGACTATAGACTAGACTATAGACTAGACTATAGACTAGACTATAGACTAGACTATAGACTAGACTATAGACTAGACTATAGACTAGACTATAGACTAGACTATAGACTAGACTATAGACTAGACTATAGACTAGACTATAGACTAGACTATAGACTAGACTATAGACTAGACTATAGACTAGACTATAGACTAGACTATAGACTAGACTATAGACTAGACTATAGACTAGACTATAGACTAGACTATAGACTAGACTATAGACTAGACTATAGACTAGACTATAGACTATACTATAGACTAGACTATAGACTAGACTATAGACTAGACTATAGACTAGACTATAGACTAGACTATAGACTAGACTATAGACTAGACTATAGACTAGACTATAGACTAGACTATAGACTAGACTATAGACTAGACTATAGACTAGACTATAGACTAGACTATAGACTAGACTATAGACTAGACGACTATAGACTAGACTATAGACTAGACTATAGACTAGACTATAGACTAGACTATAGACTAGACTATAGACTAGACTATAGACTAGACTATAGACTAGACTATAGACTAGACTATAGACTAGACTATAGACTAGACTATAGACGACTAGACTAGACTAGACTAGACTATAGACTAGACTATAGACTAGACTATAGACTAGACTATAGACTAGACTATAGACTAGACTATAGACTAGACTATAGACTAGACTATAGACTAGACTATAGACTAGACTATAGACTAGACTATAGACTATATAGACTAGACTATAGAGTAGACTATAGACTAGACTATAGACTAGACTATAGACTAGACTATAGACTAGACTATAGACTAGACTATAGACTAGACTATAGACTAGACTATAGACTAGACTATAGACTAGACTATAGACTAGACTATAGACTAGACTATAGACTAGACTATAGACTAGACTATAGACTAGACTATAGACTAGACTATAGACTAGACTATAGACTAGACTATAGACTAGACTATAGACTAGACTATAGACTAGACTATAGACTAGACTATAGACTAGCCTATAGGACCTAGACTATAGACTAGACTATAGACTAGACTATAGACTAGACTATAGACTAGACTATAGACTAGACTATAGACTAGACTATAGACTAGACTATAGACTAGACTATAGACTAGACTATAGACTAGACTATAGACTAGACTATAGACTAGACTATAGACTAGACTATAGACTAGACTATAGACTAGACTATAGACTAGACTATAGACTAGACTATAGACTAGACTAGACTATAGACTAGACTATAGACTAGACTATAGACTAGACTATAGACTAGACTATAGACTAGTCTATAGATTGGACTATAGACTAGTCTATAGATTGGACTATAGACTAGACTATAGACTAGACTATAGACTAGACTATAGACTAGACTATAGACTAGACTATAGACTAGACTATAGACTAGACTATAGACTAGACTATAGACTAGACATAGACTAGACTATAGACTAGACTATAGACTAGACTATAGACTATAGACTATAGACTAGACTAGACTATAGACTAGACTATAGACTAGACTATAGACTAGACTATAGACTAGACTAGACTAGACTATAGACTAGACTATAGACTAGTCTATAGATTGGACTATAGACTAGTCTATAGATTGGACTATAGACTAGACTATAGACTAGACTATAGACTAGACTATAGACTAGACTATAGACTAGACTATAGACTAGACTATAGACTAGACTATAGACTAGACTATAGACTAGACTATAGACTAGACTATAGACTAGACTATAGACTAGACTATAGACTAGACTATAGACTAGACTAGACTATAGACTAGACTAGACTAGACTATAGACTAGACTATAGACTAGACTATAGACTAGACTATAGACTAGACTATAGACTAGACTATAGACTAGACTATAGACTAGACTATAGACTAGACTATAGACTAGACTATAGACTAGACTATAGACTAGACTATAGACTAGACTATAGACTAGACTATAGACTATAGACTAGACTATAGACTAGACTATAGACTAGACTATAGACTAGACTATAGACTAGACTATAGACTAGACTATAGACTAGACTATAGACTAGACTATCGACTAGACTATAGACAAGACTATCGACTAGACTATAGACTAGACTATAGACTAGACTATAGACTAGACTATAGACTAGACTAGACTATAGACTAGACTAGACTATAGACTAGACTATAGACTAGACTATAGACTAGACTATAGACTAGACTATAGACTAGACTATAGACTAGACATACTAGACTATAGACTAGACTATAGACTAGACTATAGACTAGAACTATAGACTAGACTAGACTACTAGACTATAGACTAGACTAGACTAGACTAGACTATAGACTAGACTATAGACTAGACTAGACTAGACTAGACTAGACTATAGACTATAGACTAGACTATAGACTAGACTATAGACTAGACTATAGACTAGACTATAGACTAGACTATAGACTAGACTATAGACTAGACTATAGACTAGACTATAGACTAGACTATAGACTAGACTATACTAGACTATAGACTAGACTATAGACTAGACTATAGACTAGACTATAGACTAGACTATAGACTAGACTATAGACTAGACTATAGACTAGACTATAGACTAGACTATAGACTAGACTACTAGACTATAGACTAGACTATAGACTAGACTATAGACTAGACTATAGACTAGACTATAGACTAGACTATAGACTAGACTATAGACTAGACTATAGACTAGACTATAGACTAGACTATAGACTAGACTATAGACTAGACTATACTAGACTAGACTAGACTATAGACTAGACTATAGACTAGACTATAGACTAGACTATAGACTAGACTATAGACTAGACTATAGACTAGACTATAGACTAGACTATAGACTAGACTATAGACTAGACTATAGACTAGACTATAGACTAGACTATAGACTAGACTATAGACTAGACTATAGACTAGACTATAGACTAGACTATAGACTAGACTATAGACTAGACTATAGACTAGACTATAGACTAGACTATAGACTAGACTATAGACTAGACTATAGACTAGACTATAGACACTAGACTACTATAGACTAGACTATAGACTAGACTATAGACTAGACTATAGACTAGACTATAGACTAGACTATAGACTAGACTAGGACTAGACTATTAGACTAGACTATAGACTAGACTATAGACTAGACTAAGACTAGACTATCGACTAGACTAAGACTAGACATAGATAGACTATAGACTAGACTATAGACTAGAATATAGACTCGACTTTAGACTAAACTATAGACTAAACTATAGACTAGGTTATAGACTGGACTATAGAATGGGCTACAGACGAAACTTTAGACTAGACTATAGACTTGACTAAAAACAAGACAATAGACTAGATTATAGACTAGACTATGGACTAGCTATAGGACTAGACTATAGACTTGACTAAAGACCACACTACAGACTAGCCCATAGTCTAGACTACAGACAAACTAGGATTAGACTTAAACTAGACTATAGACTAGTCTATAGATTGAACTATAGACTAGACTTTAAATTAGACTATAGACTAGTCTATAGACTAGACTATAGACTAGGTTATAGACTAGACTATAGACTAAACTATAGACCAGATTATAGACTGAACTATAGACTAGACTTTAGACTAGACTATAGACTAGACTATAGACTGTCTTAAGCCTAGAGTAGACACTTGTAAAAACAACCGGTTAATTATGGGATTCCTGAAAATAAATTCTTCCTCTTTTTAGTATATTTTAAGAAACCAGCTGGCAACTTTATATTTTAAAAGATCTTCAAAGTAAACACTTGCTTGAATAATTTTCAAATAACACAAATTTTTTATTTGAGTTGAGAGCTGAGTTCTCTTTGGAGAAAGTTATTTTTTTTTTTGTATTATTTTTTATTTATTTACGTCTCAATATTATGTACGTGTAGTCATAGTTAATGTTGTTGTAGAGTAGTACACATTATTATAATATATTTATTTTATACTCTATACAAAAGTGGGGTTTTTCTTAGCTATCTGGTGGTGGTCATGATTCAGTGATTACTTTCAAACATTACAGTCAACAGTTCAGATTTAAAATTATTTGTAAAAAATAATAAAACGTTGCAGTTTATAGAAATATATTAGAAAAACGAGATTAATTAATTGAAAATAAATTGTTATAATATTTAGAAAAATTATTTATAAAAAATTAAAAAAATGTCAGCTGAAGAAATTGTGGATGAAGATGGTTATAATGTAGTGCCTGAAGATGAACCGGTTAATAATTTTTTTTGGTTTTATTTTATTTTATATTTAAAATCAGTATTAAAAACATTTGTTTAAATATTGGTTTTTTTTTTTATTTATTAATTGTTTATTATATTTTTGTTCTTTAATTAAATAACGTGTCGTTTACTTTTTCTTTTGAATTTTTTTTCCTGTCTGTGTTTAAAGTTTTTTTCTTTTTGTTAAACAAAATGTTTTAACAATTGTGAAATTATTTCTTTTTATTTTATTTAAAGCATGTTAAATTAATTTCAATACTTTCAAATTAATTTATATTCTTGAAACGTCTACTCTATGTAACGGAAGTTTTTTTTTTTTTAATTTAGTTTAAAAGTTTTAAAATTTTCTTTTAAATTTCTTTTATTTTTCGCCTTTTTCTTCTGGTTAAAATGAGTGATGATGAAGATTTCAATGATGTAAGATTTTATTTAACAATTTCCTTTTAAATTTATTAAAAACCACAATAAGAATGTTCAACAAGTAAAGTTTACCGCGATGCGCTTATTATCGTTTGCTAATATTAGAAAATTTTAAAGTTTTGTTTTAGATTTTTGAAAATTAAACAAACAAAATCAAAGAAACAAATGTAATTACATATAATATTTTGATGACTAATCTAGTCTATAGTCTAGTCTATAGTCTTGTCTATATTCTTGTCTATATTCTAGTCTATATTCTAGTCTATATTCTAGTCTATAGTCTACTCTATAGTCTATTCTATATTCTAGTCTATATTCTAGTCTATAGTCTAGTCTATATTCTAGTCTTAGTCTAGTCTATAGTCTAGTCTATAGTCTAGTCTATAGTCTAGTCTATAGTCTAGTCTATAGTCTAGTCTATAGTCTAGTCTATAGTCTAGTCTATAGTCTAGTCTATAGTCTAGTCTATAGTCTAGTCTATAGTCTAGTCTATAGTCTAGTCTATAGTCTAGGTCTATAGTCTAGTCTATAGTCTAGTCTATAGTCTAGTCTATAGTCTAGTCTATAGTCTAGTCTATAGTCTAGTCTATAGTCTATAGTCTATTCTATAGTCTATAGTCTATTCTATAGTCTAGTCTATAGTCTAGTCTATAGTCTAGTCTATAGTCTAGTCTATAGTCTAGTCTATAGTCTAGTCTATAGTCTAGTCTATAGTCTAGTCTATAGTCTAGTCTATAGTCTAGTCTATAGTCTAGTCTGTAGTCTAGTCTATAGTCTAGTCTATAGTCTAGTCTGTAGTCTAGTCTATAGTCTTGTCTATAGTTTAGGTCTATAGTTTAGTCTATAGTCTAATCTGTAGTCTAGTCTGTAGTCTAATCTATAGTTTATTTATAGTCTAATCTATAGTCTAGTCTATAGTCTAGTCTATAGTCTAGTCTATAGTCTAGTCTATAGTCTAGTCTATAGTCTAGTCTATAGTCTAGTCTATAGTCTAGTCTATAGTCTAGTCTATAGTCTAGTCTATAGTCTAGTCTATAGTCTAGTCTAGTCTATAGTCTAGTCTATAGTCTAGTCTATAGTCTATTCTATAGTCTAGTCTATGGCCTAGTCTATAGTCTAGTCTATAGTCTAGTCTATAGTCTAGTCTATTGTCTAGTCTATTGTCTAGTCTATAGTCTAATCTATAGTCTAGTGTATAGTCTATAATCTAGTCTATAGTCTAGTCTATAGTCTAGTCTATAGTCTAGTCTATAGTCTAGTCTATAGTCTAGTCTATAGTCTAGTCTATAGTCTAGTCTATAGTCTAGTCTATAGTCTAGTCTATAGTCTAGTCTATAGTCTAGTCTATAGTATAGTCTATAGTCTAGTCTATAGTCTAGTCTATAGTCTAGTCTATAGTCTAGTCTATAGTCTAGTCTATAGTCTAGTCTATAGTATAGTCTATAGTCTAGTCTATAGTCTAGTCTATAGTCTAGTCTATAGTCTAGTCTATAGTCTAGTCTATAGTCTAGTCTATAGTCTAGTCTATAGTCTAGTCTATAGTCTAGTCTATAGTATAGTCTATAGTCTAGTCTATAGTCTAGTCTATAGTCTAGTCTATAGTCTAGTCTATAGTCTAGTCTATAGTCTAGTCTATAGTCTAGTCTATAGTCTAGTCTATAGTCTAGTCTATAGTCTAGTCTATAGTCTAGTCTATAGTCTAGTCTATAGTCTAGTCTATAGTCTAGTCTATAGTCTAGTCTATAGTCTAGTCTATAGTCTAGTCTATAGTCTAGTCTATAGTCTAGTCTATAGTCTAGTCTATAGTCTAGTCTATAGTCTAGTCTATAGTCTAGTCTATAGTCTAGTCTATAGTCTAGTCTATAGTCTATAGTCTAGTCTATAGTCTAGTCTATAGTCTAGTCTATAGTCTAGTCTATAGTCTAGTCTATAGTCTAGTCTATAGTCTAGTCTATAGTCTAGTCAATAGTCTAGTCTGTAGTCTAGTCTATAGTCTTGTCTATAGTTTAGTCTATAGTCTAATTTGTAGTCTAGTCTATAGTTTATTTTATAGTCTAATCTATAGTTTATTTTATAGTCTAATCTATAGTCTAGTCTATAGTCTAGTCTATAGTCTAGTCTATAGTCTAGTCTATAGTCTAGTCTATAGTCTAGTCTATAGTCTAGTCTATAGTCTAGTCTAGTCTAGTCTATAGTCTAGTCTATAGTCTAGTCTATAGTCTAGTCTATAGCCTAGTCTATAGTCTAGTCTATAGTCTAGTCTATAGTCTAGTCTATGTCTAGTCTATTGTCTAGTCTATTGTCTAGTCTATAGTCTAATCTATAGTCTAGTGCATAGTCTAGTCTATAGTCTAGTCTATAGTCTAGTCTATAGTCTAGTCTATAGTCTAGTCTATAGTCTAGTCTATAGTCTAGTCTATAGTCTAGTCTATAGTCTAGTCTATAGTCTAGTCTATAGTATAGTCTATAGTCTAGTCTATAGACTAGTCTATAGTCTAGTCTATAGTCTAGTCTATAGTCTAGTCTATAGTCTAGTCTATAGTCTAGTCTATAGTCTAGTCTATAGTCTAGTCTATAGTCTAGTCTATAGTCTAGTCTAGTCTATATAGTCTATAGTCTAGTCTATAGTCTAGTCTATAGTCTAGTCTATAGTCTAGTCTATAGTCTAGTCTATAGTCTAGTCTATAGTCTAGTCTATAGTCTAGTCTATAGTCTAGTCTATAGTCTAGTCTATAGTCTAGTCTATAGTCTAGTCTATAGTCTAGTCTATAGTCTAGTCTATAGTCTAGTCTATAGTCTAGTCTATAGTCTAGTCTATAGTCTAGTCTATAGTCTAGTCTATAGTCTAGTCTATAGTCTAGTCTATAGTCTAGTCTATAGTCTAGTCTATAGTCTAGTCTATAGTCTAGTCTATAGTCTAGTCTATAGTCTAGTCTATAGTCTAGTCTATAGTCTAGTCTATAGTCTAGTCTATAGTCTAGTCTATAGTCTAGTCTATAGTCTAGTCTATAGTCTAGTCTATAGTCTAGTCTATAGTCTAGTCTATAGTCTAGTCTATAGTCTAGTCTATAGTCTAGTCTATAGTCTAGTCTATAGTCTAGTCTATAGTCTAGTCTATAGTCTAGTCTATAGTCTAGTCTATAGTCTAGTCTATAGTCTAGTCTATAGTCTAGTCTATAGTCTAGTCTATAGTCTAGTCTATAGTAGTCTATAGTCTAGTCTATAGTCTAGTCTATAGTCTAGTCTATAGTCTAGTCTATAGTCTATAGTCTAGTCTATAGTCTAGTCTAGTCTATAGTCTAGTCTAGTCTATAGTCTAGTCTATAGTCTAGTCTATAGTCTAGTCTATAGTCTAGTCTATAGTCTAGTCTATAGTCTAGTCTATAGTCTAGTCTATAGTCTAGTCTATAGTCTAGTCTATAGTCTAGTCTATAGTCTAGTCTATAGTCTAGTCTATAGTCTAGTCTATAGTCTAGTCTATAGTCTAGTCTATAGTCTAGTCTATAGTCTAGTCTATAGTCTAGTCTATAGTCTAGTCTATAGTCTAGTCTATAGTCTAGTCTATAGTCTAGTCTATAGTCTAGTCTATAGTCTAGTCTATAGTCTAGTCTATAGTCTAGTCTATAGTCTAGTCTATAGTCTAGTCTATAGTCTAGTCTATAGTCTAGTTTATAGTCTAGTCTATAGTCTAGTCTATAGTCTAGTCTATAGTCTAGTCTATAGTCTAGTCTATAGTCTAGTCTATAGTCTAGTCTATAGTCTAGTCTATAGTCTAGTCTATAGTCTAGTCTATAGTCTAGTCTATAGTCTAGTCTATAGTTTAGTCTATAGTCTAGTCTATAGTCTAGTCTATAGTCTAGTCTATAGTCTAGTCTATAGTCTAGTCTATAGTCTAGTCTATAGTCTAGTCTATAGTTTAGTCTATAGTCTAGTCTATAGTCTAGTCTATAGTCTAGTCTATTCTGTATACTAGTCCATAGTCTAGTCTATAGTTTAGTCTATAGTTTAGTCTATAGTATACAGTTTAGTCTATAATCTAATCTGTAGTCTAGTCTACAGTTCATTCTATAGTCTAATCTATAGTCTAGTCTATAGTCTAGTCCATAGTCTAGTCTATAGTCTAGTCTATTGTCTAGTCTATAGTCTAGTTTATAGTCTAGTCTATAGTCTAGTCTATAGACTAGTCTATAATCTAGTCTATAGTTTTGTCTATAGTCTAGTCTATAACCTATTCTGGTCTATTCTGTATACTAGTCCATAGTCTAGCCTATAGTTTAGTCTATAGTCTAGCCCATAGTATAGTCTAGTGTAGCCTATATTGTAGTCTAGTATATAGTCTAGGTCTTAAACTTAAAAAAGGATTTCTTTTAGATGAAAAAGCTGTTTGTAATATATTTTCTCAATCTTATCTGACAACTATTTTTTCCTGTTTTTCAGGAATACACTGGTCCCGGCGAAGAACATGTGGAAAAACCCTCCAAAGATGAAATTAAAGTCGCCAAATGGATGAAGAAAAATATCAAGACAAAGAAAACGAAATTTTTAAGTCACAATGTTGAATATTTCACCTCAAACAAAGCCATCGATGGCCTTATGAAATCGAAATTTGCCGAAGGTGATGGAGCCCTCTTTACCACGCGAGAACAGGCTATAGATTTTTTGGATCTCATGTTGGAGCATAAGTTTTTCCATCGTGCCAAAAAGGTACCCATTAGTATAGATGATTTGCGTGGTGTTAAATCGAGCAAAAAAGAAGAGAAAAAAGATGAGACAAAAGATAAACAAACAAAGAAGGAAAAGGACGAACGTAAAGATACAGAAGCCGAAGCTGAAGCTAGTGGTAATAATGGTGTAAGTGATGAGGCGGGTGGCACCTCTGCCACAGGCGAAAAAAAGGAGAAAAAGAAACGTAAAATCCGTTTAGATATGCATCCCGAACAGGTGTTCGTTGATGGCTCAGAGGCCTATGTTTGGATTTATGATCCTATACCCATACACTATTGGATTTATGGTTTGATACTTTTACTGGGAGCCATTGGCATTTGTATGTTCCCGCTGTGGCCACCCATGTTGCGTAAGGGTGTCTATTATTTGTCTTTGGTGGCCGCTGGCTTTTTGGTATTCATTTTGGCTTTGACTGTGGTGCGTTTGATAATATTCACCATTGTGTGGGCGGTAACGGGAGGTAAATTACACTTCTGGATTTTCCCCAATTTAACAGAAGATGTGGGTTTCTTTGCCTCTTTCTGGCCTTTATATGAGGTGAGTTATAAACACTTTCTTTCTGTTAACATTACATTATTTCATGACTGTTTAACTTTAGAGCAAATATGTTTCCGATGAGAAAACTTCCTCTAAATCGAAAAAATCCAAATCAAAATCCAAGAAAAAAGAAAAAGACAGTGATGTCGAAGACAACGATGAGGCACCCGATGCTGTTCCTTTGGAACCGGAAAAAATTGAAGAAATTAAAGAACATGATGCCGATATGGAATTAAGATTGCGCAGCAATGCTGGCAAAGGTGATACTGAGGATGAGTCTCACAGTGGCAGCAGTAGTGCAAATGAAGCGCCTCAAGAATCTGATGCTAAATGGTGAGCTTTTGTTTTTAAGTTAACAAGATTTTTATTAATTCGAATAATAATAATAATAAGTTCCTTAATTTTTTTTTTAAATTTTAAAAATGTAAATTTTTTTATTTCAATTGTATTTATTTAACTTAAACCTTAATTTTTATTTGCATGTAATTATTTTATGCTTTTTTATTTTCGAAATATCAAACTTTATAATTATACTAATACAATATTTTTTAAAAAAATAAACTTATCTTATAAAAAGTCTCCTCGGGCGAGACATTATTATTATTTATTTTATTATTTTTATACATAAGTAGGCTGGTTTCTTACAAATCAATCATTTTTTATAATTGAATTCGTTAATTATATTATCAATTAGTAAGAGATTTTGGGCATGTTTTCCTTATCATGTCGAAAACTGAAGAAGCATTTTATTTACTTTTTTTCAAATTGGTTTGGTTAATTCTAAAGGGGTATTATTAAAATTTATTCTATATTCGACTATAGGCTATACTGTAGACTAGACTGCATGCTAGACTAGTCTGTATACTAGGGTGATCGACTCGATTTTTCAACCGGTTTTAAAACCGGTTTTTTCTGCTTTACCAGTGTCGGTTTTTTCTTAATGTTGATTTTTCGAATATCGAATAACCCGGTTTTTTCACTTTTTAAAACCCGGTTTCGAATACTTTTATTTGCTTTGTATTCAAAGATTATTTAAATGAAATTTTTAAGTAAATAATAATACAGCCCGTCTAAATTTTAAAAATATTCGAGTCGAGGAACTAGAGTACATTTTCTACAGCTCTTTTGGTTAAACTTTTTTGATTTTCCTAATTAATTAAAAAAATTTATTTGTAAAATTGATAACTGTTTGATAAAATTTAGCAATCTTAAGATTATATTCCAATTACAATAATTAATTTACGGCTGAAATTTTATGGAAGAGTTGGAATGCCTATGCAAATTTCCTAAACAGGGCTTTTAAAATAAGCTAGGATTACATAGTACCTTATGTTTAACAGAAGTGTCCCACTTTTTTCCTAATTTTTTTATATTAAAGAAATAATGTAAATCAGACGACTAGATCTAAAGTTATAATCTTTTAAACTGTTAAAAATCATTTCGGGCCATGTTTTGTTAATCAAATTTAAACATAGACATTAAGTTTTTCAAATTAAAATATATTTTTTTTAATTATAATGAAAAACCGGTTAACCGGTTTATTCTGAATTTGAAAAATATCAACCGGTTTTTTTTAAATGTCAACTATTCGAACTATTCGAAAACCGGTTTTTGGAAAATGTCGAATAATCGATCACCCTACTGTATACATAATTGTAGACTTGAGTCTAGACTATAATATTGACTAGACTAGACTAAAGGCCAGAGAGTTTTGACTAGACTATAGACAATCCACTAAACTATATTTTAGACTGTCGACTAGACTATCAACTAGACTGAATACTAGCATATAGAAAAGACTATAGACTACACAATAGACTAGACTATAGACTAGACTATAGACAAGACTATAGACTAGACTATAGACTAGACTATAGACTAGACTATAGACTAGACTATAGACTAGACTATAGACTAGACTATAGACTAGACTATAGACTAGACTATAGACTAGACTATAGACTAGACTATAGACTAGATTATAGACTAGACTATAGACTAGACTATAGACTAGACTATAGACTAGACTATAGACTAGACTATAGACTAGACTAGACTAGACTATAGACTTGACTATAGACTAGACTACAGACTAGACTATAGACTAGATTATAGACTAGACTATAGACTAGACTATAGACTAGACTATAGATTAGACTATAGACTAGACTATAGACTAGACTATAGACTAGACTATAGACTAGACTATAGACTAGACTATAGACTAGACTATAGACTAGACTATAGACTAGACTATAGACTAGACTATAGACTAGACTACAGACTAGACTATTGACTGGACTATTGACTAGACTATTGACTAGACTATTGACTAGGTTATAGACTAGACTATAGACTAGACTATAGACTAGACTATAGACTAGACTATAGACTAAACTATAGACTAAACTAGACTATAGACTAGACTATAGACTAGACTATAGACTAGACTATAGACTAGACTATAGACTAGACTATAGACTAGACTATAGACTAGACTATAGACTAGACTATAGACTAGACTATAGACTAAACTAGACTATAGACGAAGACTATAGACTAGACTATAGACTAGACTATAGACTAGACTATAGACTAGACTATAGACTAGACTATAGACTAGACTATAGACTAGACTATAGACTAGACTATGGACTAGACTATAGACTAGACTATAGACTAGACTATAGACTAGACTATAGACTAGACTATAGACTAAACTATAGACTAAACTAGACTATAGACTAGACTATAGACTAGACTATAGACTAGACTATAGACTAGACTATAGACTAGACTATAGACTAGACTATAGACTAGACTATAGACTAGACTATAGACTAAAGACTATAGACAGACTATAGACTAGACTATAGACTAGACTATAGACTAGACTATAGACTAGACTATAGACTAGACTATAGACTAGACTATAGACTAGACTATAGACTAGACTATAGACTAGACTATAGACTAGACTATAGACTAGACTATAGACTAGACTATAGACTAGACTATAGACTAGACTATAGACTAGACTATAGACTAGACTATAGACTAGACTATAGACTAGACTATAGACTAGACTATAGACTAGACTATAGACTAGACTGTAGACTAGACTATAGACTAGACTATAGACCAGACTGTAGACTAGACTATAGACTAGACTATAGACTAGACTATAGACCAGACTGTAGACTAGACTATAGACTAGACTATAGACTAGACTATAGACTAGACTATAGACTAGACTATAGACTAGACTATAGACTAGGCTATAGACTAGGCTATAGACTAGACTATAGACTAGACTATAGACTAGACTATAGACTAGACTATAGACTAGACTATAGACTAGACTATAGACTAGACTATAGACTAGACTATAGACTAGACTATAGACTAGACTATAGACTAGACTATAGACTAGACTATAGACTAGACTATAGACTAGACTATAGACTAGACTATAGACTAGACTATAGACTAGACTATAGACTAGAATATAGACTAGACTATAGACAAGACTATAGACTATACTGTTGAATAGAATATAAACTAGACAATAGACTAAACTATAGACTAGATGATAGACTAGACTATATTATAGACTATGTAGACTATAGACTATATACTAGACTATAGATTAGACTAGACTATAAGCTCAATTATAATATAAAATGTAGACTAGACTATACACTAGACTGTAGACTAGATTATATAGTAGACTAATGATTATACTTGAGACTGGACTACCGACTAAACTATAGACTAAAGTATTATCCACTATACTGTAGACCAGACTAGGATATAAACTAGACTAGATTGTAAACTAGACTATAAGCTAGACTATAGACAATAATACTGTAGACTAGACTTATAAGACTAGATTGTAGACTAGAATAAACATTAGACTATAGACTAGACCACAGATTAGACAATAGACTAGAACACAGACTAGACTATAGACTTGACCATATTCTCTACTATAGACTAGACTATAGACTAGACTATATACAAGACTATAGACTAGACTATAGACAACACTATAGACAAGACAATAGACTAGATTATAGAGTACACTATAGAATAGACTACAAACTAGCTTATAGACTAGACTATATACTTGACTATTGACTAGACTTTAGGCTATACTTTAAACTAGATTAACGCCAAGGCTATAGCCTAAACTTTAAACCAGATTATAGACTAGACTGTAGACTATAAACTAGACTATAGAAAAGACTAGACTATAAACTAAGCTATAGACTAGACTATAGAAAAGACTAGACTATAGACTAGACTATAGACCAGACTTTAGACTATACTATAGACTAAACTATAGATTAGACAATAGACTAGACTATATACTAGACTATAGACTAAACTATAGATTAGACTATAAACTAGACTATAGACTACACTATAGACTAGACTATAGAATGCATAGATTATATATTTGACTATAGACTAGATAGATTAGACTATATATTTGACTATAGACTAGACTATAGGCTATACTAGAATTAGACTAACGCCTATAATATAGTCTAAACTTTAAACTAGATTATAGACTAGACTATAGACTATATCAGAAACTAGACAATAGATTAGACTGTAGATTAGACCATGGCCTAGACTTTAGATTTGACTATAGATTAGACGATAGACTTGATTATAGATAAGACTATAGACTACACTTTAAACTAGATTACAGACTAGACTATATACAATACTATACTATAGACTAGACTATAGACTAGACTATAGTCTAGACTATAGACTACACTGTAGGCTACGCTATAGACTACACTATAGACTACACTATAGACTAGACTATAGACTAGACTATAGACTAGACTATAGACTAGACTGTAGACTAGACTATAGGCTAGACTATAGACTAGACTATAGACTAGACTATAGACTAGACTATACACTAGACTATAGACTAGACTATAGACTAGACTATAGACTAGACTAGACTAGACTAGACTATACTAGACTAGACTAGACTAGACTAGACTAGACTATAGACTAGACTAGACTATAGACTAGACTAGACTAGACTAGACTATAGACTAGATTATAGACTAGTCTAAAGACTAGACTATAGACTAGACTAGACTATATACTAGACTATAGACTAGACTATAGACTAGACTATAGACTAGACTATAGACTAGACTATAGACTAGACTATAGACTAGACTAGACTATAGACTAGACTAGACTATAGACTAGACTATAGACAAGACTATAGACTAGACTATAGACTAGACTATAGACTAGACTATTGACTAGACTATAGACTAGGCTTTAGACTAGTCTATGGACTAGACTATAGTCTAGACTATAGACTATACTATAGACTATACTATAGACTAGACTATAGACTAGACTATAGACTAGACTATAGACTAGACTATAGACTAGACTAGACTATAGACTAGACTATAGACTAGACTAGACTATAGACTAGACTAGACTATAGACTAGACTAGACTATAGACTAGACTATAGACTAGACTATAGACTAGACTATAGACTAGACTAGACTATAGACTAGACTATAGACTAGACTATAGACTAGACTATAGACTAGACTATAGACTAGACTAGACTATAGACTAGACTATAGACTAGACTATAGACTAGACTATAGACTAGACTATAGACTAGACTATAGACTAGACTATAGACTAGACTATAGACTAGGACTATAGACTAGACTATAGACTAGACTATAGACTAGACTATAGACTAGACTATAGACTAGACTATAGACTAGACTATAGACTAGACTATAGACTAGACTATAGACTAGACTATAGACTAGACTATAGACTAGACTATAGACTAGACTATAGACTAGGACTAGACTATAGACTAGACTATAGACTAGACTATAGACTAGACTATAGACTAGACTATAGACTAGACTATAGACTATAGACTAGACTATAGACTAGACTATAGACTAGACTATAGACTAGACTATAGACTAGACTATAGACTAGACTATAGACTAGACTATAGACTAGACTATAGACTAGACTATAGACTAGACTATAGACTACTATACTAGACTATAGACTAGACTATAGACTAGACTATAGACTAGACTATAGACTAGACTATAGACTAGACTATAGACTAGACTATAGACTAGACTATAGACTAGACTATAGACTAGACTATAGACTAGACTATAGACTAGACTATAGACTAGACTATAGACTAGACTATAGACTAGACTATAGACTAGACTATAGACTAGACTAGACTATAGAGTAGACTATAGACTAGACTATAGACTAGACTATAGACTATTCTGTAGACTAGACTATAGACTATACTATAGACTAGGCTATAGACTAGACTATAGACTAGACTATATACTAGACTATAGACTAGACTATAGACTAGACTATAGACTAGACTATAGACTAGACTATAGACTAGACTATAGACTAGACTATAGACAAGACTATATAGACTAGACTATAGACTAGACTATTGACTAGACTATAGACTAGACTTTAGACTAGACTATAGACTAGACTATAGACTAGACTAGACTATAGACTAGACTATAGACTATACTATAGACTATACTATAGACTAGACTATAGACTAGACTATAGACTAGACTATAGACTAGACTATAGACTAGACTATAGACTAGACTATAGACTAGACTATAGACTAGACTATAGACTAGACTATAGACTAGACTATAGTCTAGACTATAGGCTATACTTTGGACTAGACTAACGCCTAGGCTATAATCTGTAGTCTCATTTTACATAAAAGTTTTAAACGTTGGAAATTTGTGCGGATCAGAAAACAAGTTTTATTCATCAGTTTTTCTCTTTATTAAAAACTTACAGTTTGTTTAAATTTTTTTTTTGTTGTTAATAATTTTCTTACTTCTTCTTCCTTTACAGTTCACAAAATCAATCCGAATCTGAATCCGATGGCAAAGATTATGAAATAATCAGCTCAAGTGAAGTGCAAAATGTCAAATGAAAAACTAAATTTTAAACGAAAATATCAACAACAATAAAACATTTAATTGTTAAACAAAATCAACCAACCATTCTTTAAATCATTTTAGTTAATAATAAAAAGAAAATAACTAAAAGCTTAACGAATTAAATATAATTGTAAATTAATATAAATTTGCTTAAAACAATATTAAACTTATTTTCTTCTAAAGCTCTTTAAACTCCAAAAAAAAGAGATAATAAAACATGACAGCAAGTGATTGGCAATTTTTATTTAAATGTAATACTTAAATTACTTTAATAACCAGGGAAAATTTTTAAAACGAAACTACAAACAAAATATTTAAAGAAAAAATTTGCATTTTTAAAAGTGCATTTTTTTTAAATACATAATTAATAAAACACAATGCTAACAACAGAATTATTTTAAAAATGTTGTGTTTGTTTTGAAATAATGGAAATTATTTTAAGTTTTTTTATACAATTCACTGAATAAAAAATATTTTAAATAATTTTTTATTCTTTAACCATGTATTTGCAATTGTTTATTTTTTATATTTTTATTATTGATGATCTTTTTTTTTTATTAATATTGTGTTACTATTTTTTTCTATTATTATTTTTATCTATTATTATTAATATTATTGCTTGAATACTTTTTTAAGTTGATAAAATTTTAATAAAAAAAAGAACAAGAAACGAAACATAATAAAATGAAATACATACATCAGCTCTATACATTTTTAGTGAAATATATCAATGTAATTTAATATAAATATTAATAATTAAAAGAAAAAAATCACAAAAAAAGAAAATAAACTTATAAATCTTTAGACAAAAAATAATTCATAAAATTTGGTGTTATATTTATTTTAAATTTCAAAAAGTGAATGAATATTTCTATGAAAATCTTCGATGTTAATACATATTTCTTTTAAAGCAAGACTTAATTAAATAAAACAATAATCTTAAAGTAAAATAATAAATAACTTCCACCAAGCACAAGACACTGAAGCCCAAAAAGAGACCAGCTGTACCGCCAATAGAAACTGAAAACAGGAAACAGAAAAGAAGATTCAAAAGAGATATAAGGTAGACTATAGACCACTAGACTGTAGACTTAATAACTATAGTCTAGACTATAGACTAGATTATAGACTAGATTATAGACTAGATTATAGACTACATTATAGACTAAATTATAGACTGGATTATAGACTAATATATAGACCAGATTATATAATAGATTATATACTAAATTATAGACTAGATTATAGAATAGACTACGGACCAGATTATAGACTAAACTATAGACTAGACTATATACTAGACTATAGACTAGACTATAGACTAGACTATAGACTAGACTATAGACTAGACTATAGACTAGACTATAGACTAGACCATGGACTAGATTATATACTCTATTATAGACTATACTATAGACTAGACAAGTCGATAGACTAGACTACAGACTAGACTATAGACTAGACTATAGACTAGACTAGACTCTAGACTAGACTATAGACTAGACTATAGACTAGACTAGACTATAGACTAGAGACTAGACTAGACTATAGACTAGACTATAGACTAGACTATAGACTAGACTATAGACTAGACTATAGACTAGACTATAGACTAGACTATAGACTAGACTATAGACTAGACTATAGACTAGACTATAGACTAGACTATAGACTAGACTATAGACTAGACTATAGACTAGACTATAGACTAGACTATAGACTAGACTAATAGACTAGACTATAGACTAGACTATAGACTAGACTATAGACTAGACTATAGACTAGACTATAGACTAGACTATAGACTAGACTATAGACTAGACTATAGACTAGACTATAGACTAGACTATAGACTAGACTATAGACTAGACTATAGACTAGACTATAGACTAGACTATAGACTAGACTATAGACTAGACTATAGACTAGACTATAGACTAGACTATAGACTAGACTAGACTAGACTATAGAAACGACTATAGACTAGACTATAGACTAGACTAGACTAGACTAGACTATAGACTAGACTATAGACTAGACTCTAGACTAGACTATAGACTAGACTATAGACTAGACTATAGACTAGACTATAGACTAGACTATAGACTAGACTATAGACTAGACTATAGACTAGAACTATAGACTAGACTATAGACCTAGGACTATAGACTAGACTATAGACTAGACTATAGACTAGACTATAGACTAGACTATAGACTAGACTATAGACTAGACTATAGACTATAGACTAGACTATAGACTAGACTATAGACTAGACTATAGACTAGACTATAGACTAGACTATAGACTAGACTATAGACTAGACTATAGACTAGACTATAGACTAGACTATAGACTAGACTATAGACTAGACTATAGACTAGACTATAGACTAGACTATAGACTAGACTATAGACTAGACTATAGACTAGACTATAGACTAGACTAATAGACTAGACTATAGACTAGACTATAGACTAGACTATAGACTAGGACTATAGACTAGACTATAGACTAGACTATAGACTAGACTATAGACTAGACTATAGACTAGACTATAGACTAGACTATAGACTAGACTATAGACTAGACTATAGACTAGACTATAGACTAGACTATAGACTAGACTATAGACTAGACTAATAGACTAGACTATAGACTAGACTATAGACTAGACTATAGACTAGACTATAGACTAGACTATAGACTAGACTATAGACTAGACTATAGACTAGACTATAGGACGAAGACTATAGACTAGACTATAGACTAGACTATAGACTAGACTATAGACTAGACTAATGACTAGACTAAGACTACTATAGACTAGAATAGACTATACTGGACTAGACTATAGACTAGGACTATAGACTAGACTATAGACTAGACTATAGACTAGACTATAGACTAGACTATAGACTAGACTATAGACTAGACTATAGACTAGACTATAGACTAGACTTAGATAGACTATAGACTAGACTATAGACTAGACTATAGACTAGACTACTATGACTGACTATAGACTAGACTATAGACTAGACTATAGACTGTAGACTATAGACTAGACTATAGACTAGACTATAGACTAGACTATAGACTAGACTATAGACTAAGACTATAGACAGACTAACTAGCTATAGACTAGACTATAGGACTAGACTATAGACTAGACTATAGACTTAGACTATAGACTAGACTATCAGGACTAGACTATAGACTAGACCTATAGACTAGACTATAGACTAGACTATCGACTAGACTATAGACTAGACTATAGGACTAGATCTAGATCGGACATAGACAATATAGCTACTAATAGACTATAGACTAGACGATAGACTAGCTATAGGACTAGACTATAGCCCACTAGACTATAGACTAGACTATAGGACTAGCACCTATAGACTAGACTATAGACTCGACTATAGACTAGACCTATAGACTACGACTATAGACTAGACTATAGACTGACTAGTGACTAGACTATAGACTAGGACTATAGACTAGACACTATAGACTAGACTATAGACTAGACTATAGACTCAGACTAAGGACTAGACTTATAGACTAGCTATAGGACTAGACTATGACTAGACTATAGATCTAGACTATAGACTAGACTATAGACTAGACTATAGACTAGACTATAGACTAGACTATAGACTAGACTATAGACTAGACTATAGACTAGACTATAGACTAGACTATAGACTAGACTATAGACTAGACTAGACTATAGACTAGACTATATACTAGACTATAGACTAGACTATAGACTAGACTATAGACAAGACTAGACTATAGACTAGACTATAGACAAGACTATAGACAAGACTAGACTATAGACTAGACTATAGACAAGACTAGACTATAGACTAGACTATAGACTAGACTATAGACTAGACTATAGACTAGACTATAGACTAGACTATAGACAGACTATAGACTAGACTATAGACTAGACTATAGACTAGACTATAGACTAGACTATAGACTAGAATATAGACAAGACTATAGACTAGACTATAGACTAGACTATAGACTAGACTATAGACTAGACTATAGACTAGACTATAGACTAGACTATAGACTAGACTATAGACTAGACTATAGACTAGACTATAGACTAGACTATAGACTAGACTATAGACTAGACTATAGACTAGACTATAGACTAGACTATAGACTAGACTATAGACTAGACTATAGACTAGACTATAGACTAGACTATAGACTAGACTATAGACTAGACTATAGACTAGACTATAGACTAGACTATAGACTAGACTATAGACTAGACTATAGACTAGACTATAGACAGACTATAGACTATAGACTAGACTATAGACTAGACTATAGACTAACTATAGACTAGACTAATAGACTAGACTATAGACTAGACTATAGACTAGACTATAGACTAGACTATAGACTAGACTATAGACTAGACTATAGACTAGACTATAGACTAGACTATAGACTAGACTATAGACTAGACTATAGACTAGACTATAGACTAGACTATAGACTAGAATGTAGACCAAGACTACACTATAGACAAGACCATAGTTTTAGACCGTAGCTTATACTACAGACTAGACCATAGCCTATGGACTAGATATTAATCCATTTGACTTACCCATCAAATCGGTGAAAGAAAATATAATTAATCGCTTCAGGCGGTAAGTGGGCAAATTAATAATGGCAAATAAAAGACTATTACCACCGACCAAAGCATTTGTTTTTGTAATTGCTGTAATATAAAAAATTTTAACAGTTTTGTTTGGTGAAAATTTGTATGCCATCTTACAAATTTCGATCTCTTATTGACGATGGCATCCTGACAATTTTGGGCACAATAACAGGGTACCATTTGTTTGTTACCATTACTATCGACTTTGTATAATTTTATAAAAAAATCTAGAGTAAATAAAACTAGAAATTAAAATTTTTATTTTAATATATATAAAACAAAACTTACGTGCATTTTGGACAAAACATTCACGTAGAATTTTATAATTACAAACCGGTTTGGGTTTAGGTACTAAAATAAATAATGAATAAATTTAAAATTTTATTATTTTATTTATAAATTAACATTGTTTGTAATAACATACTGCGATTTGGATAAAAGTGTGGTATACATTTGCATGTCTTATAAACCAAATTTAAGCGACATTCCTGGAGGCATAGATTTCTCGTATATATCGGATAATGAGTCAAATTACTTTCATGCTGAAAACGACATTTACGCTGTTCCACACTGGCGCCACTGGAAAGGAAATTAACTTAACAATATCATGAAAAAATTGCCCTTTAAAAGTATACCTTTCAAAACCCTCTTCGGTAATAATTTCTATACAATCCACATCCACCTGCAAGGATTCATTAGTATAACCCAAATTATGATCCACTTGCATGATTTCATAAGAACTATGCAAAAATCCCTACAAATTAAGTATATACATTAAAAAAGTCTTCATATTTGTGGTTCTAAACAATCACTTACATCTATGGGTCTATTGTTGAAACCCAAAAAATTATAACTAACATCACTGTCAAAATAACTACTCTGCTTAACCTGCAATGTAGACTTAAGAGCTCTCATTTCATTTACCGGATATTCACCCCATATTAAATACAAAGATGTAAACTTTTCCGATAACATCGTGTTGGTCATATAACAAAGACCATATTCGGTTAAAATTTGTCTCGTTTCTATAATAAAATCTCCTGTAGTACTACGTATTTTATCAGCTACGTCATTTAAATCGTTTCTGTATCTAATAGATTTATCTCCGGTTAAATTATATATAAGTTGCATATATTTATCGGGGGTAATATTTAAACGATCTAGTATTATGTCTACCAATTGGTTGTTGGGTATATTTTGAAAATTTATATAGGTAGAGTTGGCCAAATTTTCCATAAACTCAAAGAACTCATGGCGATCTACGGAGCTTAACTTGTGGAGGCTGAAAGTAAAGATAAAACTTCTTTAAAGTAAAATACAACAAGAATGGATATTAGATCCATTCAGAGTGAAGCAACTTTCCCTATAAAAAAGAGGTTCAGACTGAAGCAACCTTTTCTATAGGAAAGTGGTTCAGACTGAAGCAACTTTTTGTATAGAAAAGTTGTTCAGACTGAAGCCACTTTTTCTATAGAAAAGTTGTTCAGACTGAAGCCACTTTTTCTATAGAAATGTTGTTCAGACAGAAGCAACTTTTCTATAGAAAAGTTGTTCAGATTAAAGCAACTTTTCCATAGAAAAGTTGTTCAGACTGAAGCAACTTTTTCTATAGAAAAGTTGTTTAGACTGAAGCAACTTTTTATATAGAAAAGTTGTTCCAATTGAAGCAACTTTTTCTATAGAAAAGTTGTTCAGACTGAAGCAACTTTTTCTATAGAAAAGTTGTTCAGCAGACTGAAACAACTTTTTCTATAGAAAAGTTGTTCTGCAGAATGAAGCAACTTTTTCTATAGAAAAGTTGTTCTGCAGAATGAAGCAACTTTTTCTATAGAAAAGTTGTTCAGCAGAATGAAGCAACTTTTTCTATAGAAAAGTTGTTCAAACTGAAGCAACTTTTTCTATAGAAAAGTTGTAGAGACTGAAGCAACTTTTTTTATAGAAAAGTTGTTCAGACTGAAGCAACTTTTTCTATAGAAAAGTTGTTCAGACTGAAGCAACTTTTTCTATAGAAAAGTTGTTCAGACTGAAGCAACTTTTTCTATAGAAAAGTTGTTCAGCAGACTGAAGCAACTTTTTCTATAGAAAAGTTGTTCAGCAGACTGAAGCAACTTTTTCTATAGAAAAGTTGTTCAGCAGACTGAAGCAACTTTTTCTATAGAAAAGTTGTTCAGCAGACTGAAGCAACTTTTTCTATAGAAAAGTTGTTCAGCAGACTGAAGCAACTTTTTCTATAGAAAAGTTGTTCAGCAGACTGAAGCAACTTTTTCTATAGAAAAGTTGTTCAGCAGACTGAAGCAACTTTTTCTATAGAAAAGTTGTTCAGACTGAAGCAACTTTTTCTATAGAAAAGTTGTTCAGACTGAAGCAACTTTTTCTATAGAAAAGTTGTTCAGACTGAAGCAACTTTTTCTATAGAAAAGTTGTTCAGACTGAAGCAACTTTTTCTATAGAAAAGTTGTTCAGACTGAAGCCACTTTTTCTATAGAAAAGTTGTTCAGACTGAAGCAACTTTTTTCTATAGAAAAGTTGTTCAGACTGAAGCAACTTTTTTCTATAGAAAAGTTGTTCAGACTGAAGCAACTTTTTTCTATAGAAAAGTTGTTCAGACTGAAGCAACTATTCCATAGAGAAGTGGTTCATACTAAAGCAACTATTCCATAGAAAAGTGGTTCATACTAAAGCAACTTTTTCTATAAGAAAGTTGTTCAGACTAAAGCAACTTTTTCTATAGAAAAGTTGTTCAGACTAAAGCAACTTTTTCTCTAGAAAAGTTGTTCTGAATAAGGCAACTTTTCCTATAGGAAAGTGGTTCAGACTGTAGCAACTTTTTCTAAACGAAAAGTTCTTCATACAGAAGGAAACTTTTCTATAGAAAAGTTGTTCAGACTGAAGCAACTTTTTCTATAGAAAAGTTGTTCAGACTGAAGCAACTTTTTCTATAGCAAAGTTGTTCAGACTGAAGCCACTTTTTCTATAGAAAAGTGGTTCAGACTGAAGCAACTTTTTCTATAGAAATGTTGTTCAGACAGAAGCAACTTTTCTATAGAAAAGTTGTTCAGATTATAGCAACTTTTCCATAGAAAAGTTGTTCAGACTGAAGCAACTTTTTCTATAGAAAAGTTGTTTAGACTGAAGCAACTTTTTCTATAGAAAGTTGTTCCGACTGAAGCAACTTTTTCTATAGAAAAGTTGTTCAGACTGAAGTAACTTTTTCTATAGAAAAGTTGTTCAGACTGAAGCAACTTTTTCTATAGAAAAGTCGTTCAGGCTGAAGCAACTTTTTGTATAGAAAAGTTGTTCATACTGAAGCCACTTTTTCTATAGAAAAGTTGTTCAGATTAAAGCAACTTTTCCATAGAAAAGTAGTTCAGACTGAAGCAACTATTCCATAGAAAAGTAAGTGGTTCATACTAAAGCAACTTTTTCTATAGAAAAGTTGTTCAGACTAAAGCAACTTTTTCTATAGAAAGTTGTTCAGACTAAAGCAACTTTTTCTATAGAAAAGTTGTTCAGACTGAAACAACTTTTTCTATAGAAAAGTTGTTCAGACTGAAGCAACTTTTTCTATAGAAAAGTGGTTCAGACTGAAGCATCTTTTTCTATAGAAAAGTGGTTCAGACTGAAGCAACTTTTTCTATAGAAAAGTTGTTCAGACTGAAGCAACTTTTTCTATAGAAAAGTTGTTCAGATTGAAGCAACTTTTTCTATAGAAAAGTTGTTCAGACTGAAGCAACTTTTTCTATAGAAAAGTTGTTCAGACTGAAGCAACTTTTTCTATAGAAAAGTTGTTCAGACTGAAGCAACTTTTTCTATAGAAAAGTTGTTCAGACTGAAGCAACTTTTTCTATAGAAAAGTTGTTCAAACTGAAACAACTTTTTCTACAGAAAAGTTGTTCAGACTTAAACAACTTTTCGATAGAAAAGTTGTTCATACTAAAGCAACTTTTTCTATAGAAAAGTTGTTCAGACTGAAGAAACTTTTTCTATAGAAAGGTTGTTCAGACTAAAGCAACTTTTTCTATAGAAAAGTTGTTCAGACTGAAGTAACTTTTTCTATAGAAAAGAGGTTCAGACTGAAGCAACTTTTTCTATAGAAAAGAGGTTCAGACTGAAGCAACTTTTTCTATAGAAAAGTTGTTCAGACTGAAGCAACTTTTTCTATAAAAAAGTTGTTTAGATTTAAGCAAGTTTTTCTATAGAATTGTTATTCAGATTGAAGCAGGTTTTCCCAGTTTGCAGTAACTTTTTCAAAAGATAAGTTATCTTGTTTGTAACAACTTCTATTGTCCTTTTCAGTCTGTCTTCGTTTAAATAATACTCTTTGATTAAGCCGTTTGTATGACAATAGATTTTAGTATATGTAGACTTACTTATATACTTGTATAATATTTGTATGTGTATGTTTGTCAATATGTCTGTGTGTTATACAAAACCTAATAAAACCACTATAATGGCCATCATTTGATAGAAAAAAAAACATTCAATTTACCTACCGGCAATATTCATTGAATAGTTTGATATCTAAACGTATTAATGGACAAATAGTAACACT